TACCTCAGCTTCTGGTAATTCCGAGGAAGCAGAGCTTCGAGTCTTTGACTCATCTTGATCATTTTCTTGAGATGGTTCAGAGCTTGATGAATCGGAAACTTGAAATTCAGTAGGTATACTTATCTCTGCACTAGTTTGATTTTCATAATTCATGCTGGTTTCTGATAAAGGTTTTGCTGAAGTTACATTCTTGATAACGTTTTGAATTTGGCTATTAGTAAGAGTAGAGATAGCATATATACTGTAGGTAACTTGTTTGATTTTATCTATTCCAACTCCGTTCTCCCCAAATAGCATTTGAATTTTTTTAGCCCTTAAAGTTTTCATACGCAAGTTTCCTGATGTAATACCAGGTAGGTGCTCTAACATTTCCTTGTATAATTGAGTTTTAGCAATTTTATCTGTAACTCTTAATTCACGGCAAATTTCGATAACTCGATTTTCAAAATTATCAGAGTAATTATACCATGCTAAGATTTCTTCATGTCTAGAACGTAACGCATAATGAAATAAACCGACTAAGCTTTGTGTTGTAATTTGAAATATTCGATATTCTGGAATTATAACTGACGATATAATAGGGTTGCTACTAAGCAATTCTTTTATTAATCCTTGTTCTATATACTGACTTTTAATGGGTTCAATTTCATCAGGTTCCTTAGTTTCATTTTGCCGATCGTCACGTAAGCTCGTGATGGAAATTTCTTGATATTTTTCGTTTTGTCGATCGTTATGTAAGCTCGTGACGGAAATTTCTTTATATTTTTCTTTTTCGTTTACATGATTTTGCTCTGGAGATATAGAAATATCTGAAATTAAGTTCTGGGATCGGTTTTTGGTTAGCTCACGTTGAAGCTTCTTTTCCTTATTTTTCTCTCTTATCATATTACTAACCCTTTCCTTTTCTTTTTTGTCTAGAAATTCATTGACCATTTTATCTTCTGAAGATGCAACAGTATCATTGAAATTTACTGTAGATGAATCAGAGATGAGCTGTAAACCCGAGAATTCATCTCTTACCTCTGCCTGTTGTGAATCATTAATAACGGTTTTTTCTTTATCTCTTTGTTCTAAATTCGTGATTCTGATTTCATGCTCTTTTAGAATTTGCTTTAGCTTTGCATTATCAGCCTTAACTTTCATATTCTCAGCTTTAAGTTCGATATTCTCGGTTTCAATTTCAGCATATTTCTTTTTAAGCTCAGGTATTTCTGCATTCTCCTTCCTAAGTTTATCAACCTCAGCTACAAGTTTATAATTCAATTCTCTCAACAAATCGTCTTTAAATTGAGTGTTTTCCATTATTTTATTTAAGACATAGACATATTTAAAATAAAAAATTACATGTGCTCCGCCAAGAAAAAAATTCTTGAATGCCAGTTAATATATATCGATATTAATATCAGAAATACACTTGTAAAAAGATAATATAACAATGAAATAAATTCACTGATTATGTATGCGAAATCAGCCATTGGGGCCAGCTTTATTAATAATTGCCAAATCAAATTCCAATACAGCAAAAATACAAAAATGGGTGATTATTATTTTTTTATTAATAACATTACGTGCTAGATTAACAAATATTAGGTTATATTGCTAAACTTAATCGAT